GTCTTATGGAGACCTAAAGAGAATTTAGAATTATAATCAAGCCTCACAGGTACTCCAGTCAGGACTTGATCATAATTCTGAAAACCAGGAGCCAAAGCATCAGGAACTCATATAAGAACAAAAAGATGAGAACTCAGAGTGACAAACAGTTGGTACAGCTGGCCTGTGAGATGCATTTCCTATGACAGGTTTCCAATAAGTAGCTGATTGGTGGATTGAATAACTGGCTGATTTTTCTCGGATAGTATAAACTTCATGACAGAGCTCATAGGTCTTTGAAAAGTATGTGAATTTTATTTTGCAAATTAGAGCCAAAAAGTACAAATATCTGTAATGATGTTGTGAAACTGTGAATGTTTAAAACAGGCCAGGTATTAAAGAATGTAATCATGGGGAAAATGGCTTATCTGGTGTTCAGGTTCTGTGGGCAGATAGATATCTCACACTCAATCCAGTCCCCAAGGCTGAACAAAGAACTTATAATATAATATAGTGTCAGTCTGCACTCATGGACCAAGGACAATAGGGTAATAGAAGGTGGCTTCCTGAATTCCATCTAGGGTGAGCAGGAAGGCATTGGTGATATGATCACATTTGAGGTAGTCTGAGGACAATCAGAAGCACATCTCTATGTCCAGTGACACGGTGAAACATCTTTCAGTTCTCTCAGGCTGTTCCTAACCCTCCCTCAACACTGGGTGCTGATCCTCTCCCTTTCACTGTGAGTAGAGACACCACCCTCCCTCCTTCAACAACTTCTGCTAACCCCAAAAGGTCCAATGCAGACATTCCTCACACATAAAATCCATGGACACTCCCAAGTGCCAGATCGTAGTTGAAAATGTAGCAGCCACTAACCACTGGAAAGTCAGAGACACCTAGGATTGAGCGTAGCTGCACTGGAGAGAAGGAGGAAATGTGACTCCGGTGGCGTCTGAGCTCAGGTGGCCAGGATCCTTCTCAGTCAGAGGCCTTTCTTCACAGATAATGCTCGTGCTAAGATTATTAATCTGAGTTTGAAAAAAACTTTGTATCACTTTAATATGTTCCCTGTAGGGTTTACACACAGCATGAAAAATAACCCATGGCCAAGATCATCTCTGTGCCATTATGGGTATCAAATGACTCTCGCTGTGAATGCAAGAAGTTGGAGAGGTTACAGGTTCGCGGGGCTAGATTCGGGTGTCATGGACCATGCTGCTGCTTTACTGACCTCCCGGCGCTCCGTGGTTCTTTGTCTAGACTCACAGTGTCCCAACAGTGAAAAGTGAGAGCAGCAGAATACAAATTCTAAATAGCAAGGTTACAGGGATGCCACCCATGGAGAACAAGCAAGAACCAGGAAATTTATTTTTAAAAAAACTTAATAGGGTTTGTTTCATGGAACTTTTTAGGTGTAAATTACTGAGGACTTGTTTACCTACATTATAAACATCAGCTTGCTGTATAGAGGAATCGAACGTATGCACTAATAATGTTCCGTTATGAAGTGTCTCAACTTATTTTCTAACCTTGCATTCAAATTATTATCTGTATATGTTTGTGTGTGATTTGTATGTTTGCATGTGTGTTCGCACATGTATGGGCACATGAATATGCTTGTACATGTGTATGCAGATCAGGAATGTATTATACTTCATCCTTGTTTGTTCTTTCTGCTTACTGAGGCATGATCTGTCACTGAAACTGAAACTAATTCAGCTAGTCCAGGAGACCTGTTTGCTCCAGAGATTCCCCCTACCCCGGTTTCACCACCCAGAAGTGGACTGAAATATGCACGCACACTCCTGGTTGTTTATGTGGTACTGGGGATCTGAACTCTGGTTCTCACACTTGTCCAGCAAGGGCTTTATCACTGAGCCATCTCTTGAGTCAATTTAAATATTTGTAACACTTTTATCAGCATCTACTATTCATTTTCTGTTTGCCTGTCTTACTTGCATTTTGGGTTTTACACGAAAGAACTAACTTTGACAAGATTTCGGCAAAAAGCTAACATACTGAAAAAACCCATTGGGTTATTTCAGAGAGTTCAAGGAAAAGTCAAGAAGGGGAAAGGAAGTGACAGATTTTAGAGAAATTGGCAGTGAGACTTGGAGAGACTTCCCACCACAGATACTCCTTTCAAATCAGTTCTTGTGATGTCAACCTTATGGCTTTCCTCAACCCCACCTCCATTTCAGTTCTTTGGAAAGAGCCCCTATTGGACACAAGTTAGATCAAATATTCTACTGGAAAAAAATGTTTAATAACAATGTGTATTAATGGGAATTTAAACCAAGCCACTGGAGAAGCCAACGGTACAGAAAACAGAGAAATTTCTGGGAAGGGGGAAACCTGGTTAACTAATACATCACTTCAAAAGATACATTTCCATTTCAAGTGTCTCTTTTCTGCTGTGGTTTTTCCTCTCCTTCCCTCCGACCCCACTGCAGGCTGAGAAGAGTTTTGCGTCTTGTTAAACAAGATGCTGGCTGAGCTCAAACGCCCTTGAACTGGACTTGCATATATGAAGGAAAATTCAGAAAAAAGTATCTTATTCTGCAAGTTATTAAAACAATTCAGTTCAATTGTCGACTGTATAAAAGCATCCAGGATGGAAACTGAAAGTTCTGTAAGTAGGAGCTGGCCAGTACATGTAGCCGATGATCACGTAGTAACTGTTATCTTGACTACACACAAGATTCCCTTCCTTAGTTACTAATGCCATTTAGCTATTTCTTGATATTAAATCTAGGCATTTATCTATGCCAGAAAACATGTGGGGTATGTGTTTGTGTGTGTGTGTGTGTGTGTGTGTGTTTGCATGTGTACACATGTGCATGATCCAATATGCCCCATTCAATAATCTGGAAAAAAAATTACTGTTGGACAAGTCCAACGACCTTATCAAGATGATCATCCTTGTTCACATGATGGCACCTGTACACTCTTATTTCTTGAAAGTTTTGATTTCTTCGGCCCCTGTAGACCTGTCCTTACTGAGGAAAATATTCCAAGGTTCATTTTTCTTTGCTTTGCTTTTATCCTTTCCCTTATTCAATGACATTACTCTCAGACAAAACTTCCAATTTCATCCTGAAAACTACCTTCCTATTTTTAAATAATCTATTTCATTCATACTTAAAGAGTAGTATTTCTCCAGTAAAAACTACAATTATGTCAAAAATCTTATAATCATTTTGGAATTATTACTATCAGTTTGCCCCTTCTTGGTGTTAGATTTAAGCCCTGGCACAAACAGTGGAAGTGCCTGCTGCAATAGCTACTCTTGGCTGTCAGCTTGACTACATCTGGATGACACATGCCCTTAATCCAGCCCTTGAGACTGGAAGGCACACCTTTAATCTGGGCCACACCTTCTGTTGGAAGCCTATGTAAGGACAATGGAAGAAGGGAGACTGTGTTCTTCACCTACCTGCCCTCACCAACATCACCACATCCATTCCTTCCTTGAGATCCCAGAAGTACAGCCTCATGGAACTGAGCCACTACTAAATTCTGGGACTTTCCATTAATAACTAGCCATTGTTGGACTGAAGCCTGTAAGTCATTCCAGTAACTTCACACACACACACACACACACACACACACACACACACACACACAATGTGAAGAAAGATGAGTATCTTGAGAATATTGTTGGACATACACCTGTATATTTATGTGTGTGTGTGTGTTTGTGTGTGTGTGAGTGTGTGTTTGTGTGTGTGTGTGAGTGTGTGTGTGTGTGTGTGTGTGTGTGTGTCTATAAAGACTCTCTGTAAGTTCTGTGACTCTAGGGAAACCTGACTAATAGCACCCTGTTCGGCATCAAAGCAGACCTGGTCACCAGCTTCTCCCAGCATTCCGCAGTTCCTGTCTCTTACAGGATACTCCTGGCTGGCATACTTGGCCCCCTAGCCTGAACTCACCAATCAAGGGTACTGGGCTGTTCTTCCCTATATAATCTAGACATTTTGATTACTTGCTCCTTTTTGTACTTTTGGCTTCCTGGTTACTGCACCAGGTTCCCCTCTCTCCCATCTCCCTTTTCCTCGCCTTCTTCCCACAGGGCACAGCTAAGTCTGGTCATGACCAAACGGGCCTCTCCCAGACGTCCAGGGTCTGCCTCTACCTATGCTCAACCACATTCAACAATAAACCTTCTCCTCCATCATACCTAAGAGCATTCATGTTTCCTTTTCTTTTCCTTTTTATTTTTTTTTCTCTATTCACTTGATATTGCTCCAAAGACCTAGAATCATGAAAAGATCTTTTTGTGTGTGTGTGTGGTTTTTCGAGACAGGGTTTCTCTGTAGCTTTGGAACTTGTCCTGGAACTAGCTCTTTCAGACCAGACTGGCCTCGAACTCACAAAGATCTGCCTGCCTCTGCCTCCCAAGTGCTGGGATTAAAGGAGTGCACCACCACTGCCCGGCTATGAAAAGATCTTTAAATAAGACTGCACGATTCTACTGATAAACTGTCCTGTAAACTTTGATCTATAGCCATCAAGCCATAGTTACTGAAATATTATAGGGCCTATGCAGCCCAATATTGCTATCACTTGGGATAAATTACTAAGAAATTCGGGAATCTTTGACAGAGAAAAGTTCTAAATTACACGGGACGAATACACAATAAAATAATGTTCTACCTGCCTATTTTTCGAATCAGTTTTCATACATCAAAGAGCTGCTAATTATGGAAAATGACTAATAACCTTTTAGCCCCAAACCAGTGATAACTACAAGTCCCATGATGCAAAGCTCGAGCCTGAACCTAGATTACCCGCAGTGCCTCCTGGGAAATGAAGTCTTTTTGTCACCTACTTGGCAAACCAGATACTGTAACCCCACTTCTCAGAAAGTCGCTTTTAATAATAAAGCCTGTGACAAACCATCGATTCCCTGGGAGGAGATTGGATTTGTTCTGGCTACTGCAGAGACTGGGACCAACAACTCTAGTGCGAGCCTCCGGGGGCGGCACCATGCTGTGACGTCACTTCCTGGAGCCGCAGCCCCGGCCATCCTCCCTCCCTCCGGTTCGCGGGAACCGGGCTGGGCGGCTAAGCATAGGCACCGAGCAGCTGCCTTCGGGTGAAGGTCACGTGCGTCATCCCGGGGAGGAGGCGACCAGCCGCTGTCGAAGAGGAGCCGCCTTCCTTAACCTGAAAGCAGGGGCCGCAGAGCGCGCCGAGGTAGGACGCGAGGACACCTGCCGCCTCGACGGCTGGCGGAGGGTGCGGGGCCGCTGCAGGACCCCACGTCAGCCCTGACCTTCAGTCACCCTGGGGGGCTGGAAGCGCCGAGCGGAGACTGAGGGGTCGCGGCCCGCGCCGACCACACCGCCCTGCCATGTCCCCCGGGCCTGCTGTCACCCACCTCCCGTCTACCTGAGACAGGTAGCATTGGCGCATCCTCATGGGGGACAAACGTCAGGCGCCCCCAAGAACGCGCGCGACACGCCCTCCGCTCGGCTGCTCTGGCGGGTGGAATTCCCGGGTGCACGCGTAGGCCGTGTTTGGCAGCCCGGGGCCTCAGGTGGCAGATGTCAAAGCGCTGAGAACTCTGAGAAGTTATCCTTTCTTTTTTTTTCCTTTTTTTTTTTTTTTTGATGGTGGTGGGGTGCGTCAGGAAGAACTCAAGAGGTGAAATCAGCAGCTGGGGGTTCTTGAATATTCGACTGTAAGGAAGGTTCACTGGCCACACGAGGTTAAAAACCCTGTTTCAGCATCTTCCCAAGGGCAGTAGAGTTGAGCAAATGAAGCTGTGCTGGTAGGTCCCCTGTTGTTGTGTACAGAGCTGTCATTTCTAGCAGTCAGCACTTCAGATTTTAGAGTTTGTTACTTAGTGATGACATGATAAATCATTACCTTTTTATAGTACAAAATGACTCTGACAAAATACAAACATCTTTTGGGCCCTAGATTGAGAATTAGTCATCTAGAAACTAAAACAAAGTCTTAATCCTTTAATCTTGTTGATTGTACATCCTGATTAAATTTTGATCAAAATTCATTAACTTGGTCAAATTTATTTTTAAATCTATTTGATGCTAAGTTTTATAAAATGTTGTCTTCAGAACAGTTGTTGCTGACTTGGTGGTTCAGGTGCGTATTCCTGCACTCGAGGCTGAAGCAAGAAGATCAGGAGTTCAAGTTTATCTGGGCTTCTTAGCGAGTTCACAGGCAGCTCCTTGGTAAGTCAGAAAGACCCTGTAAAGCCCGGTGTGTGCTCTTCGTGCTACAGTACGGTCTGCGAGCCAGGAACTAGGCTGGAGATTTAAAAGATTTAAAAACATACAGAGACACGGGGACATGGGTCATCCTTGAAACAAGAATGCCCCTTTATTGTGTTCAGGGGTAGCTTATATAGGGCTCTGGCCACACCCCAACTCTTTCAGCTACAGACCCATCAGAACCCACTTCCCTGCCATCAGGGTCTCATGCTCAGAGCCGCAGGCTTCAGAGCAGAGGAAAACAATTGTTTACAGGAAATTCAGGGTCTGGTGGTCCACAGTCCCCAACAAGACCCCATCTAAAAATTAAAAACATTTTTTGCGAGGGATAGAGTATCTTCCAGTCATTTACAAGTCTCCACCAAAATAAGAGTACTTCTTAATCCATACTAGTAAGTTTGTGATTGACTGTGATTAGCATGCTTGCGTCCTTGGTATATAAAAAGGCAATGTGAATGAGTTTCCCTTTCTGTCCCTATGCTGTTCTTGTAGTACTGTCAGATGACAAAAATCTCTTGTTTTTCCTCCGTTGGGAGGGTGTGTTTCTATATGTGCTAGGATTAAGTCCATTTGAAATGAATACTGCAAAAATGGAGGAATGAAAGTAGGCAGAAAAAAAGAATTCCATGAATTATGAGGGTTAAGAAAAAGAGAAATTGAGTAAGTTTGTTCTCTTTACCTTGCAAATACGAGCCCACAGAAGTAATTCAAATTAAAGGGAGATATCAGAAGTATGTTTTCATAAAATAATTGAGTGTCACAGATTAAAAAAAATTGTTTTCTTTTGGAGTATGTTTTAAGTAGGACACTAACCCTTCACTATTTCCGTCTCATTTTAGATCGTGAATTTCTAAGAAGAGAGGAATGAACCGCACAGTGCTTGTCCTTTAAGGCTTGGAGTCAAAGGTGGACAGCTTTGTTGCCACGGCCAAAGAAGATGGCAACCCCTTATGTCCCAGTTCCCATGCCAATAGGAAACTCAGCTTCTGGTTTTACAGCCAGCAGAAATCAAAGGAGTTCTTCTTTCGGTAGTGGCTCCACAAGCTCGAACTCTTCCAGAGGGCACCTAGACGACCCGAATGTGGGGAATTTCAAGCAGACGAATGTTCAGGATCGGATGGATAGTACATCATCAGTCTGTGGCAGTCCTCTCATCAGGACCAAATTTACAGGCGTAGATTCATCCATTGAATACTCTGCTAGACCCAGAGACACTGAGGAGCAGCACGCTGACTCAGTGAACTGGGAAGAGAGGCCTTCTACACCGACCATTCTGGGTTATGAAGTTATGGAAGAGCGAGCCAAGTTTACTGTAAGTGTCGCTTCTGCTGCACACAGTGACAAGTCCTTAAGTGCATGCTCATTAGGCAGTCCCATTCTTCAAATTCTTGACCGTAAAATTGTGTGACTTTTACCCACTGCTATTGTAAATTCTTATTTTACCAGCAGACATATCTCGGTAACTAGCACATAGATAAAGAAAAAGAACATGGCTTGCATACTTAGAGCACCTCATGCTCCCTGACAGTCAGTACCCACTCACCTGCTGCTTTTCTCGTAGTCTCAGTTAATTTTGCCCCTTTTTGTCCTTGACATAATGTGGCTGTTGAGCATATACTCTTTAGGATCCAGTGTTGTTTCAGCATTATGCTTGTAAGAGTCACCCTGAATCTTGCATAAGTTTAGGTAGCTCGTTTTTATTGTTGGTATATTGTTTTTTAGGTTCTTCCAGGCACTACTGCTGTGATATTAGTGTTGATCAGTTGGGAAGCACAAGTACACATTGCCATTTGCAGTACGCTTAGGAGTAAAGTGCTAGTTCAGAGGCCCAGCCATGAAAGATAGTGGTGAGCTGGGCTCTGTAGGGGTCATTGCACTCCTTCCACACCTAACTAGTGTGTCACCTTTTTCTTCCTTCTTAATTTGTATATTCCAGTTTATATAGGATGTGAGTTTTCTTACCTAGCTAAAGTGGAGGCACATGCCTTTGGAGATTGCAGATGGATCTATAAGTTCAAGGCCAGCCTGGTTTACAGAGGGAGTTCCAAGACGACCAGGGCTATACCAGTCTTGAACCTCCACCCACACCCCCCCCCCAAAAAAAACACCCAACAAACATCCTCTTTAGCTGTTTGCATACTCTCTTATGCATCTCCATTTTGCCGTTCTCTGCATTCTGTACGCAAGTCCTTTTTCAGATATGTGAGCTGTGACTGTTCTTACTTTTCCTTAGGTCGTGCGATAGATACAGCCTTAACGTGCCCCAGTGTGCTCCTCTCTGACATGCCCTTCTGCTGCCATTGCTGCTCAGGTGCTAGGATTAGGCCATGACTACTAAGCGTGACTCTGCCTAGCACTTTTTTATAATTTTTGCCTCCTCTAATGTTTTTGTCCAACTTTTTTGGCACGATTCTTATGTCCCTGTTATGATGAAAGGCTAAGCCATTTGTATTTTTCTGTGAAATCTCTTAATCAGCCTTTTATTTAAAAGCGCTTTTTTTCCCGGTGTTGCCTGTGACATAGTTCATAAAGGTGAATCCCCTTCGACGCTCCATTTTTCTGTCTTACCAGTTCCACGACCCTAACTGGCACAGCATTTAATAGGCCGTGGTACCCAGTGTTTGCAGCACTCAAGCTGTTTCTCAGGATGGCCTCTGCCGTTGTCTGCCCTGTGCACTGGTTTTCTTAGGTCTGCAGAGCAGCTGCACAGAACCTTCATCTTCACGGCACTATCTTCACCTGGCTGTTAAACCCCTGACTTTAAGTCTTTACTAGTGCTTTGTAGTTGCCGATGCGGGTCTTGTGGTCAGATTTGTCTGGTATAGCTGTTTGATACTCTTAGAGGAGATCTATTTTTATTTGTTTTCTGTTTTTTAACTACTCTTTTTTTTAAAAAAAAATCTGTCCAGCTCTAATAATATTGTTTCATTTGTTTCTTTTATAGTACTTTCATACAGGGTTTCTCTCTGTAGCCCTGGCTGTCTCTGAAACTCGCTGTATAGCCCAGGCTGGTCTTGCACTCATACAAATCTGCCAGCCTCCGCCTTCCAAGTGCTGTGGTTGTAGACATGGGCCACCACACCCAGCCTAGTTTATATACTTTAATATTGTGTGTTTATGCATATTAGGTTGTACGTGTTTTTCATTAACCCTACCAAAGTCATATATGATCAAAGAGTTTGTTTTTGGATTTTCTTGCAGAAAAGTTTTTGTGTTTATGCTGATGGTTCATGCTGTTAACTTATCCCTAGAGTAGAAGATCTCCAAGAAAAACTGTTAAAATTTTTGAAGAAACAATCTAGTATAGGATGCAGTTGTCATACCTCTGGGATAAGATGCAAGTCTGTGTAAAAACTTCATTCCTAACGATTCACCAATTATGACCTGATGGCTGTTTTTTTAGTTTGACCCGCCCATCTTATGTAAGAATGGGTACTCAGTAAGAGTCTGGAGGGAGCTGGAGAGATGGCTCAGTGGGCCCGGTTTCAATTCGCAACACTCGCATGACAGCTAACAACTGTCTGTAACTCCAAGGTCTGACACCCTCACACAGATATGCATGCAGGCAAGGCTCCAATGTGCATGAAATTTAAAAAAAAAAAAGTCTGCTAGGGGTGAGTGTTTTGGTCCACCTAGATTCTTATGTTGAAGCCTAACCTCCACCATGATGCTGCTAATAAGAAGAAGCAAGCTGGGGAGGCGGCTCCGTGAATAAAAGTGCTCGCCACCAAAGCTGATGGCCTTCACTCATTCCCGGGACCCTCATGGTAGAGGGAGAGAACAATTCCAGATGTGCTGTGACATTTTATCTTAGTCATACTTTAAAAAATTATTTTGGTGTCTCCATCTCCATATATTTGATTATCTAAATGATTTCATATTTCTTGCATAAAAAGTACTTGATATATCAAATAAAGTTTTCTAGAAATGTTTGACCTCTTTCTTTTTCTTCCCTCTCCTTCTCCCTTCTCTCAATATTGTTTTCTCTGTATCTCTCCCATTCTCTCTTCCTAGGTATATAAAATACTAGTAAAGAAAACCCCAGAAGAAAGCTGGGTGGTTTTCAGAAGATACACTGACTTCTCTAGGCTTAATGACAAAGTAAGTAGTCTGTAAATCCCAAGCTGCCTCTCAGTTGTGAGTTATGAATCTGTTCACTGTGTCTTTGTGGGTTCATAGAAAAATCATAGACTTCATTTCACTGTAATAATCTTCCATGTCATCTGCACAGTTAGCTGTTTATTTATGAAAAAATGGTCCTAATATAAATAGTAAGTTGTCCTAATATAAATAGTAAATGTTTAATGTTTCATATATGATTGTACAACCTCAAAAGTTTGAGAAAAATCTACATAACATCACTTACAATTATAAGGAAATGAGCAAAAATTTGTAATGTTAGTATTAGTTCTGTTACTGCTGACGCTGCTAAAACTCTTTCTAATAGTGGCTTGCAGTGAGGTGCGGGTGCTTTTTAGGGTCAGACAAGCTCTTGGGCCAAGCTGGTCTCTTTATCTGACGTCTCTGGGGAAGAATCAGCTTCCAAGCTCATTCAGGCTTTGGTCAGAGTTTAGTTACTTGACGTTGTAGGGACAAGTCACTTGTTTGATTGCTGCTGTCAGCTAGAGGTCATTCTTAGGGCATGGATCCATCCTTAGTTGTGAGTCCTCCACCTTCAGAGCTGCAGCCCAACACTGTATGAGTTGGTCAGGGACTGGTCCGAAGCTGAATAGATAATGCACCAGAGAAGATATGCAAATAGCTAACTAGATAGTATTTAACAGTATTTATGGAATCAGAAATTCAAATTACAGCCGCAGTGAATCTGACTCCTTATCCACAGGGGTGACTAATGAGAGAAAGTAGCAAATCCCATGTGCAGGCCCTAGAGCAACTGGCATGCCGGCAGCACACCTGAGAGGCACCAAGAAGCAAATGCAGAGAAAGCCTTAGGTGGTTTAATTATCTTAAGCTTGTTTGGTGAATATTTCATTTAGTTAATGGGTTAGAACAGTACTCAATTTGTGTAATTAGTTTAATATCTCTCTCTCTCTCTCTCTCTCTCTCCAGCTGAAAGAGATGTTTCCAGGCTTTCGATTAGCACTTCCTCCAAAACGCTGGTTTAAAGATAATTACAATGCGGACTTTTTAGAAGATAGACAATTAGGATTGCAAGCATTTCTTCAAAACTTAGTAGCTCACAAGGACATTGCTAACTGGTATGTAACAATCTGAAATAAGAGATTATAAAATCATTTCAAAAGCCAATTTAAACTGAAGAATAAATTTAGGACTGACTTCATATAATAAGCACGTAATAGAGGGTGGGGTTTTAATTATTTCTCCCAAATCTCTACATGGAATTTTCTTGCTTTCTTTCAGTGGAGGATTTCATTTGTTATTTCATTTGTATTATAGTTTTAAACAGGAAGGGAAACTTGATTTTAGTATCTAGCATATTAACAATCATTTAAAAAAACATGTATATAATATTCAGCTTTTTGTTAATGTAACAATAATTTTAAGGCTAATATTTTATAGTAATATAAAATATTAATATTTACAGTAATATAAAAAATATCCAAAGTAATATAAAAATTAGGAAGTTAGATTAATTCATGTAGTAAAGTAAAATTTCTGGAAACATTGAACAAGTGGATCAAGATTTTTTTTTTTACTTCTAAATATAAGAAACTCCCTTAATGAATTATCTTGTTTGATGTATTACATTATTAGAAAAATTAGAACTGTTTTACAAAAGCTACAGAGAACATTTACAGTGAACAGTAGCATATGGTACGTCGGTAGCTGTTTTCATTGTTCAGATCATGATGGAAAATAACCAAGAAGCCCTGTGTCTCTTCTTCCCGTTGTTCTACTCTGTCTTTGCATGTCACCTTCAACCTTGCACACTCTGCCTGAGCACCTGCTCATCAGGGCGCGCGGCCCCAGCCTGGGAATGGTCTTCAGACGCATTGTTGTCTAGCCAGGCCTACAGTCATCTTTCACACAGCCTGATGAGTCATTCTGGTCCCAGCCTACTTGACTGTCTTTCCATCACGGATTCATTATTTCTCCATTCTCTGTACATCTGTCGTATCCATCACTTTATCTAACATTATCATGCTCTTTGGTCTTCTAATATGTTCCTAGAAAGGCAGTGTTTCAGACTTCTAGTCTCCAGTAACTCCTAGACATCCCCAAACTTTCAGCACAGATTTACTTTATTAGGTACCAGGCTTTCTTGACTAGCTCCTTGCCTCTCCGCCACAGAGAACAAGATGTCTCCTTCCTCGTACTTGTAGGAGGCCATCACTGGTTTTACAGTTCTCTCCTAGTGGTATGTAATGAACTGCTGGATTTCTCGGTAGGATGATACTAGCTTTGTACCAAGCTTAAGAATTGAGGAGATATCCATTCCCAGTGTAATTTTCATGGCGTGCCCATTAAGAAAGGCTGGTTGTTTCTTGACTTTTACCATATTTTGGTTTGCATAATATTTTTTGATTATTTGGTTTTGTTTCTTTCACCAGATTGTAAAGTATAGTTATGTGGTTATTTCATTTATTGTGCCATGTGCCATGCTTAGCACAGTGCAGACTCGGTCAGCTCTCAGGATCTCTGGAATAAGTGAATGCCAAACCTGCTGTTAACTCTATTAGAAAGAGAAGTTTCTGCAAATGAGACAAAATATTTGTGTGTGTATGCACAGAAATATATATATTTACATTTCTCAAAATACAAAAGAAGAAAAAATATCATTAATGCCAGAACAAAAAAGGCAGTAACAATAACTATTAAGTACTAAAATCACAGAAAAGGTCCTTGAAATTTATCTTGCACATACCGTAAAGGGACACTGGAATATGAGAAGTCTTTCCATGCTTGTTCTTTTCTCTTGCCCCATATTCAGTAAACCTTTGTACTAAAAATGTGCTAAATTACTCTGTGGACAACTTTAAGTAACTTTGCTTAAAATTTTCTTTTTAAGTAGCAAAATGTAACAGATGCATAGATTTCAAAATTACCAGGACTAGATTTCAGTCATTAAAAGTTAAGCATTGCAGCCAAATGTGGTACAGAAGCCTGGGAGTACCAGCCCTTGGGAGGTAAAGGCCAGATGACTGTGAGTTTGAGGCCAGCCTGGGATACCTGCAAAGGTCATATCAAAAGATAAACAGATGAAATAAAATAGATCAAATCTACGTATCAGAAAAAAGAAAAGGATGTAGATCAGTAAAGAACATATGCCTTGTATACACGGGATTTTGAACCTTAGAACTTCAAATGAAAAGAATAGCCGTAAAGTAGATGTGATAGAGCATGCCTTTAAACCCAGCTCTTGAGGCAGCCAGGGCTATGTAGGGCTAGCCTGAGGGCGGGGGGGGAGGGGGGGGGTGGGGACCATTAGTTCCTCTTGCACAGAGGGCCTGCGGTCAGTTTCCAGCACTCACATGGCAGTTTACAGCCATCTATTAAGATGACACAAGTCCCTCTTCTGACCTCCATGGGCAGTAGGCACATAGTTTACTTACTTACATGCAGACAAATCACTTAAATGCACAAAATAAATCTCAAAACATTTTTTGAAAGATTACTGAGACAGCACATCTCTGATCATTGGTAGTTGCTTTTCTTAATTTATAAATGTGCATTTCAGGAAAATTAAAGTTTCTTAGCCAAGTAAGATGGTGAAAGTATTTATTTTCTTGTCATCTTAGAGGATTAAAATTTACGAAGTATCTGGTGTACTTCAACGTTTATTCGTCTAGGCCTATTACTGCTTTTGTTTTACATCATCAGGATTCACGGAACCCAGTTAAGAACTTATATTGATTGAAAATGGAATACTTTTTTTGTTTTATGATAAAGTATACATTAATTTTCTGGTATTATGTAACATGTAGCTTACAGTGAAAGAGGTTTCTTTAATTGTTACGCATAAGAAGGTGAAGAGAAGGATTACTTATCTGTCATAAGGGTTAACCCCATAACTCCTTGGTCCCATATCTGTAGAGAAATCAGGCTTCTGTTTGAATAAAAGAAGGAAGTTTCTAAATTACAGCTCTGTCTGATGGAGATTGTTAAAGTAGAAGCACTGGAAGGGAGGAGCAGTACTGGAAGGGAGGGAGGAACACTGGAAGGGAGGGAGGAGCAGCACTGGAAGGAGCAACACTGAAAGGAAGGAGGAGCAGCACTGGAAGGGAGGGAGGAG